GCCTAATGTCATCTGTGGAAGCCGTGGTACTGTAAAAAGCACGACCAATCATCTGAGCCGGCCCGGCTAAAATAACTGGGTGGCCTACCTGCCTTTCAGCCTTCCATCTGTGCTCAAACTTATGTCGTGCCCTCATTGGTCATGTGGGCCTTCGTGTGTGTTGGAGGAGGGGCTCTGTAAGGAAGTGGTAGATTTTTTCCGGCTGTGTATTTTCAAATTCTAGCACACTCCAGCTGGTTTCTCCAAAATTACCTACCGCACCTTTAACGTTCCCTACACACGGCGGCGTGCTTGGCCGCTTCAACGCTTCTGCCCATTCACTTTGAATGGGGTGACGTCACGATTCACCGAACTGCATTGTGGGAGCAAAGCGTAGCTTCTCTCGCGGTGCTCGCTGCAAAAGTAGAGCAATGTTCTACTTTTGCCGCCTCGACGGAGGCGTCAGCCAATCGAATCATATGCCAGTACAAGTTCTAGCCAATCAAACCGCGTGCTTGTGTGTCTGGGGCGGGAGATTCATGTGATTGGTTGTTGGTCGAGTTTCAGCCCCCCCCGCCGGCAAGCGACAACGCACGCCGCCGTGGGTCGGAGCCGTAACTGGGAATTACAAAATTTGTTATTTGTTAAGCGTGGGTTGTGTTTAAGGTCTAGACAACACTGATAAGAGCTGTTTGCAGATTGTGCAAAGCTGATTTAGGCAGTAGGCCTACGTACATGTCTGCAGATAATGTACACAGAGTGACTGAGTTTAGTTTACCGTTTTACGTAATGTGTTTTGTGAAAGCTACAAAAAGTTAACAAATATTTATGTCTCTGATGTTGTGTTTTTCTACTAGCAGGATCTCATAGGCCTATAGGACTTTAGCATCCAGTCTGCACCCAATATGTATGATCTTTTTGGAATTCCTTAATATTTTAGACAATTTTCATATAATGGTTGATCAACATCCTCCAAATAGCCTATTCCATGTATACAGCCCTCATTTTTAAAGATGCATATATATTTCATATTTTTGTCTGAAACCAATGACATACAAAATGCAGTGTAACAGTATTTAGACATTTAAAAAAAGAGCACTATTGACTGTGAAGGTCTGCACTTTATCACTTCTTATCTATTTTTGCTTGTTCTTATAAATGTTGTGCTTCAGCTCAACTTAGTTCAGACTGACAATTCAAACTTTATCTCATACGTTAAACAAAATATCACTGTTAACAGTTCTAAATATGTGCCATACATGATTTAAGTCACACATATAATTGGTTATTATCAGAATGCCTCCTAAAAAATATATTTTCATGCATTTTTTTCTTCAGGCCACTCGTGCCTTTATTGAAGAGAAAGAGTTGAAAGGGCGAGACATACTGTAGGGGATGTCATGAGGAAAATTGTCCCAGGCCAGATTCAAACCTCAGTCCTCCGCACGGGGACCAAACTCCAGTAAATAGGCCGCCAGCACGTGAACTATACGGCAGCCCTATTTTCACTTGTTTTGTTATAATTCAGTACATTTTAGCAAATTAACAAATAGCCACCATGGGCAGTTAGTAACATGGCCAAAAACATTTTAGGATTATTTCATGCTGTTTCGTTTGAAGCCATTGACAGTGAGAGATCAGTGACAGGAAACACAGCAATGCTGGGAGTCATCACAACATGGATTAACTTGGTCTTAAACAATACAAAAAACAAACACTAGATGGTTATTTGTGGAAGCATTTATTATGTTGTGCAGCCAAACACTGATATCAGTCAAATGTCATGTTTACCGGTTTGGTTAAACAGCGACTCATTATGAAGATCAATAACGTTGATGGTTCCCCTATGTAAATGTTGCCATGGTGTGGTCAGTTTCAACAATTTTGTCATCTTCAAGGATTGTAAACAGGAAATTACCAGTTTGCTGACTTTATTATTGATGACCATTTCCCACAAAAACGGGGGGAACATTGTGTTTTAACATGAACGTAGTGTTTTTTTATCCTCTTGCCATTTATCAGATGGTTGAACAAAAGAGAGACAGGAAATGTTACATGTAATGTGCTTTTATCAAACCATCATGTCGCCCAAAGAAGCTATAGTAAGCAGTCATGGCGTGTCTGAAGCAATTGTGTAAAATGTTTTTCTGTCTTCTCTTCAATCCATGTCTTTGTGTGATTTTTTTTTCAGTTCCATTGTGAGTCCCAAGGGCCGACTTATGCGGATCTTTTGAACTGGGGGTCCTCAGCGAAGAGTTTCTCCGCCAGGGTTGTTCCAGCTGCTGCAGGTACGCACTGAGCCGAGAATGCGGTGGGGTAGGCCTCGATGGTGGGCTCTGATTGTTCGGGGATCTGGGGGTCGGGCTTGAGGTTCAGGGTGACTCCCACCTCACCAGGGGGGACTTCGGGGAAAATAGGCAGGGTCATGGGCTGGTCCACTGCGGGAATCATCTTCACCATGCCCTCTGGGTGGTCGTGGGATGCATTCTCGTGCTCATGTTCGTGGTGATGGTGGTGGTGCTCATGCTCGTGCAGGTGGGCGTGCTTGTGGTCGTGATCCAGAGCCACCTCGTGGTCGTGCTCGTGGGTGTGCTCGCTGTCGGCGTGCTTGTAGTTGTGGTGCTGGTTGGGCACATCGTCGCTATGGTTGTGCGCCTTGCTGTGGTGAGTGTGCACGTGATCGTGGCCATGCCCGTGGTCGTGGGAGTGGGCGTGAGCGTGCCTGTGGCCGCCGTGGTCGTGTTCGTGGTCGTGCGTGTGGTGGTGGTCGCTGTTATCTGCGTGCTGCTTGGTTTTGTCGTGATTGTCGTGGCTCTTGGTGTGGTCGTGAGCGTGCTCGTGTGTGTGTGCGTCGTCGACGGCGTGGTCATGGTCGTGGCTGTGTGGATGTTTGTCTGTGTGGCTGTGGTCGGTCTCTCCGCCCAGCTCATGGTGTTTCTTCTCTCTGTCAGCAGCCTTGAGAACACGTAAAAGATAAAATGAGTAATGTTGGGGACATAGAAAAAGTGGTAAATAAATTTGTGAAATTTAAGCTATATTCATATATTGTACAGTACATACAGTTTTTTTGCTGTATTTTTCACATTTTATCGGAATTTTCTTCAACTATGTCTTCTAAAGACCAAACATTAAGTTCATAATGCGAATTCAGAGCTGTATTTTGATTCAAATTGTGAAGCAGAATTGGCATTTCAGTACAACTTGCATCTTATTTGTGTAGGTTAAGTCATTGTGTCCATATGATATCATTGTTATCACTAGATAATTGTTATAGTCATAATTTTAAATAATATGATGTTATTATATAATTGAATGCCAAAACTATGAAAATCAGTCGTAATAAATTTCATGCTACTGCTGGCTAGTGCTCCAACACATTGGACATGATAGGCTAGAAGGTAAGCAATTGACCCATCATAACAGCGCTGCCCAGTGTACCAATCAGAGCAGACTGGGCTCTAGTTTCAGACAGATATAGAAATAAAGACCCTTGTAAACATTAAATAAGAATATAAACCTGAAAATGAGCATAATAGGTCCCCTTTAAATCAAATAATCCATGCGTGCATTTTCCTTTTGCTACAGAAAGACTTTATAAAATGAAATCAATGTGACACTTTGTATTTGGTCCTGGCTTAATCTTACCTCTGGCTCATAGATCTCACAATCTTCACTTGGCAAAGCTTCCCCAGTGGGAGAATAAAAGAGGCTGGCCTTACAGTGTCCTTTGTGCTGAGGGGAGAATACCAAGATAAATAAGTTAGAGAATTGTAATACTTTAAAAGAGAAGTTGTTGCACAAAAGGTACTGATCCAGAGATTTACATGAAAAAAGCAGAATTCATACTGGAGCATTTAAAATCTTTCAAATGAATCCTGATTTATTACAGGAATTCCAAAATGAAAACTTTATTTTAATTTAAAACAAAACAAATGAAATAAACAATCCATATAACTAAGATATAGTGTTGAAAAATAAATGTTTTCATGACTCACAGCGAACTCGCAATCCATGAAGGGGCAGTCATCAGATGCTGCAGAGCTCCTGGGGCAGGTGGTCTCCTGGATGGTGTAGTCTGCATTGTAATACATCGACATGGCCATCTGGTGACAAACACACACATAACAAAAGAAGTTGGTCAACTCGCAAGTGAATGCATTACAATAAGATGATTGTTCAAAGCGGCGGTCGGTCATGGGGATAGAGAGGGAATTAGTGTATGTAGTCAGATTCTGGAAACCTTGATACTCTGGATGATTAGAGGATAATTTAATAATGGAAATTTGAATCAATTGGTGACATAAATCCAAGGTGTCAACAGGATTATGCTTTTACCCTCCCCAAAGGAGATAATGTCTGTTTCTCAGTAGGATTCATAAACCAAGGAAGGACCCATTACATTTTGGATCATGCATGCATTATTCAACTTTTTGAACATTACAACATAGGAAGTTTGGCCTCGTCTTAAACGTACCCCGGCTTTAGCGCGGTTGATTTTGAGCAGAGCGAAGCGATTGGACAGCCCGCTCATGTTGTTGAACTTCTCCAGTGAAAGAGACACAGTCTTCTTAATCTCAGCATGTTCCATGTCCGTAGGAGTAGGACAGTCAGGACATAGCTCTGCCACGCGAGCTGAAGGAACTGAGCAGAGAGAAAAATCACGAAATGTCAAAAGACTGTTTTGCACTGAACAAAATATCAGGCTCATTTTACCACATTTTGAGGCTTATAGGTTCACTTCTGCTTAGAAATCTGGCAAACTTAATAAGATTCAATTAAATAAAGTAGAACTTAACGGTTGTAAAAAATATTTACCTGGTCTAACGACACACTGGTATTTGTAGAGGCGCACCACCCTGTGCACCTTGCTGATGAAGATGACAACCTTGCATTGTCCATACACCTGCAGAGACCAATACAACAATAATTGATTATACTGGAAACATTAAATAGACTCGACTCATATTGAGATTTTTTTGTATTATAGTCATTTAAGGTTCATAATATAATAACTACTTTTTATGGAGCAGCAGGAAAGTATAATGTGAGTCTTGACGTAACAAAACACTGATAAAACAAGGCTGGACAGTACACACAACTTGCATAAATGTGGAATTTTGTGTTATCCCTTTTCAGTGGTGGAAAGTAAATAAGTACATGTGCTCAAGTATTGTACTTAAGTACTTTTTTCACATATTTGCAATTTACCTAAGTATTTCCATTTATTTCTACTTAATACTTTTACTCCACCTAATTTTAGAGGTGAATATCATACTTTTTACTCCATTACATTTATTTTAACACTCACAGTTACTGTGGACATATTAACACGTACTGTATAAGCTGATGCGGTATAATAAATAAATACTGTACTTTTAATGTACACAGTATCTAATTTGGTCCACATGAACCAACAGCAACACTAAAAATGCTTTTATATGTAAAATACAAATAATATAATACAGTGAAAAGATACATTCTGCCTAATGAGTGCTTTACTTTGATACTTTAACTACATTTAGCTGATACTTTTTCTGTACTTTATATCATTCTGAAATGGGCCATTGTGCAGAATGAGTACTTTTACTTTTTGTACTCTGAATATATTTTTGTACCTGTACTAAAGTTACATTTTGTAATCACGACATTTGCTTGCATTTGAGAATTTTAAGACCATAGTGTTTGTACGTAAAGGATCAGATTACTTCTTTCAACACTGTCACTGTTTAGAGAGGGGTGTGCATGTAAAAGTGTGTGCGTCAACGAGTGTTTTCTGACCGGTGTGTCCTCGTCGGGGCGAGCCTCACAGGACTTCCAATCGCTCCTGCTCAGAACACTGCAGTTGGTCTCCACAACATCCAGAGTCAGGTAGAAAACCACGCCGGTCTCTCCCTGTAACACACACACAGACACACACAGAACTCATTATCAGAACGTCATTATGCAAATGATCTTCCAGTGGTTAGAAGGTTGGGTTATTGTGTGATAGTACACGTGGCTGGTGATAAATGAAGACCCTAAAAAAAGTTGTTCTTATCAGGTACCGATGCTTACATGACAAATGTATCCATCCAATAACTTTGGTATCACCTGATGTCTTTAACACAATCAATCTGTCTGCTACTACACAGCAGACACATCATTTATCTCTGGCTTAAATGTCTGATGTCTGAAATGTAATTGCTCTCATAACTTATTCATAATGAATATAAATACATAAGGAAAATTACAGATTCTTATCATCTGAGTCTTTTGTTAAGTGCTAGAGGTTATCAGATTTATGGGACCATACAGATGAGCTCCGGCAGACTGATTGATTGTTTTTCAAAAGAAATATCCCATGTAGTCATTTTCTTTTAATCATCTCTTTTGACTTTTTCTTGCCTCAGCATTTCCTTTATTTGCAATTATAATAAGCAATCTCTTAGCACATGTTTGAAGACAGTTTGAGATAAAGACCTTCTTTTTTTCAGGTTATATTCATTATTTAATTGTCAACTTAATTGTAGACAGACACTCTATTTACCATTGCCATCCGACATGATTGCAACCTTATTTAAAGTATTCATTTCTAAGTTAAAACTACATTTAACATTTATATAGATATAATATATATTAATGTCACATTTTCATATATTTGAAAATAAATATTAAGAAGAAAATCTAGATTATTACATTTCAAATATTTTTGACATCAAAGCACTTTCGTGTTTTTTCGTGGATTCCAATTATGGAACACCAACTTGTACAAACAAAACATCATCCATATCATGTACAACAACATGTACATGTTAATGAGTTGCCTTGTTTTGGTATAAAACCAAATGTAGAGAGGTTGCTTCTGATTGTGTCTCTACATTACATCTAAGAAATGTAGATGATGTTGATGGATTTTGCCCATGATAATATAATATAACAAATATAATAATAATATAACCTTCTGTTAACCTCACTTATTATATCTTCATATGGACTCACATGTTTGCTCATATGCACGTTGGACAGGCGGTGCAGAGCGAAGATGTAGCCCTCCTGCCGGTCCTGGTTGATTTTAGTGATGGCGAGTCCTGCAGCCCCCTTCGCAGATGCGTCTTCACACGATCCTTCCTCGATGCCAACAGTCTCCACTGGTGCAGCGCGGACGCATCCCAACGCCAACAGCAGCGACAACAACACACAGTGCTTCATGGTTAAAGGCCTGGTCAAAAAACACGCACAGGTTAGTGGGAAAGATGAGAGGAGGTCTTTTATATCCTGCTACTGTTCAATGTAAGAACACCCTCACTCCCACAAACACAAAACCACTGCCCCTTGTGTCATATCAGGTAAACATAACCATTGAACCCTTACCTTAAACGCATGGTCATATCTTGGATCCTGCATCGGTTGATATATATCCCAACCAATCAGCTACTGTGGTGACTTGCACAGTGGAGCTTATCGTGTTTGTTAGATAATGGGCCCTGCAGTCCCGCCACTTTGGATCAACAGGGACAGTGAGGGGGCTTAAAGTCCCTTGATACAATCTTGGCCCCCATTCCCTGTTCAATAACGCACTACAAACAAGATTGGATAACACAGTGGTCATCATCTAGAAGTTAATAATGATAAATAATCAAACTGAGTTGTTAGAAGTCCATTCAAACACATTCAACAGCTGTAGTAGATACTGTATCAGGTCACCATTGTCTTTAAATGCTTTCACACCTCAGGGGCAGATACGCCATGATTGTATCACAATATCATAGCCAGTCACATTTCTGTTGTCTTGCATCTCATAGCATCTCTAGCTCTGGTGTTTAGATCTAACTTTGAAAAGGGTGATGTTTATGTTTATTAAGGATCCCCATTAGCTTTTGGTCTCGACAAAAGCTACTCTTCCTGTGGTCCAGATGTTAGTTTCCCCTTTTTATGTTTTCATACAGCACAGAAAAACAAACAGGTTTTGGACCAAACTTCTTCACAAAGACAGAAAAAAACATTTATGTACATAGAATATTTGGATATAAAAAGAGCTTCAAGAAGAAACACAACACATATTCTGCAGTACCACCAAGGTACAAGACAGCATATGACTTTATGAAGACTCCTGTACTTTTACTTAAGTAGGATTTTGAACACAGGAAATAATTGCTCATATTACTCATTAAAAAAAGTGTCTTTGTATTGATGTTTGATACTTTTAATCACAGTAAGTCAAGGATCTGAGTACTATAACTACACAAACCATCGTAATTTAATTATTTATTTACTTTTTGTTCAATGACAACTTTCTTTGGACATGCAGCTATCTGCAGTATTGTGATGCCTCATTTTTCTCCTTGTCCTTTTTGAATATTTGAACACAAGCTGTCCCTACCTTTCCTTAGCTAACAGTTTTCAATTGTTTAGGATTAAGACTAAATATTTAAGAAATACTTTATAAATCCACAAGGGGAAATTACATTTGTCCTGACACTTTTCACTCTGTTGTTATTGACATGGCATCACACACATACTTTAACCACACTCTATTCATGTTTTGGTAGCCAAGTGCATATACTGGTATGATAATTATATTCTGATTCTGATTCTGATAACTGTTTGTTTTAAAAAGAATCACATGATTGAATGTTAAACAGGGTTTTCAGTAATTAACACTTTGGTTTAAAGCATCATACTCATTCTAAACAACTTTTTAAACTATGTATTGGAAGCTGTGGGGAATTAAAGCAGAAGACATGAGCGGAGAAGTATTTTGTGTTGGCTCTTTCCTGAACTTCAGTTGTTGGTGCTCCCATATCAACTGCTGAACTGATGGTTAACTTTCTGCTGAGAAACATTTGACCTTTGTTATAACAAAATAAACAATCCATGGAATCACACGGCTACAAATCGATAGTTCTCTTGCAGCTGCTGTGTTGCAATAATCAGATACACTTACGTAAGATACAGAATTGTTGGGATACTAAAACCCATACCATACATGTCAATCTGAATTAAAAGATTGAAATAACTGATAAAGATTACACAAGATGATAAGTGAAAAACAAGTTAAGGTTTAGCAGCCGAAAGAAATGAAACTTACTTACAGAAATTTGTGTTCCAAACCAGAAGTCATCATGCCAATGGCAACGATCTTATTTTTGACTGATTCAACATGATGTTTTGTGTCGGAGAAAAACAAACATGACATGGTTCTGTTACACGTTGGTAGCTTAAATACAAATACAAAATATTTGAGATTATGCAAGGGAAGACCATGTGGCAATACTGTCTATGCATGCAGTAGGGCGAGGTGACACTGACAACCGCAGTCATATTTAAAATGATTTGATCTTAAGGCAGTTGAGGTGTAATACTGTATTATTCAAAGTTAGGATCTTCACATATTAATTGCCAAAAGGACATTAAAGTTACTTTACAATACTTTCAAGATGGAAAAATGGGCATGCATTGGTTTCATTTCGTTGATGATTAACGTAACATTGTAGAGCCTGGTGTATTTCGTTTTATTTGCGAGGCTCTGCTTAGTCAGTCAGTAATGACTTTGAGGGCATTGACCCAGATCACTGGAAATCAGCTGAAACTCAGTACACAGCTAAAGATGAGAACTAAGACGTGTGGATCTACAGTAAGAACCTTCATTGTTCTGGTTCTGAAGTATATAAATGTATATATTTTTGCATGGTAATTGCCTGTGATAAAGCAAACAGAGAACACACAGGCAGACTACTACAATAGTGTGCTTACAGGCTTTATTGGGGCAAGGGTGAAAACGTAGAAAGAGCCACCTCTACACTGTACAGGTTTGTGTAACCTTTAGGGTTAGGGTTCAACTTCAGCCACATTTACTCAAAGACTGGGCTTAAGAACAATTCTGAATACTTTAAACTGCTTCTACGCCGCAAGATTTCAGAGAGAAATTAGACTTACACCATTTACTTGACAATTATATTTATGGGACAGATGTAGTAGTAGTAGTAGTAGTATAGTAGAACCTTTATTTAGCCAGGAAATTCAATTAAGAACAAATTCTTATTTTCAATGATGACCTGACAGGAGGATAAAGGCTTCCTGAGGGGATGGGGGTTGGGAGGAAGAAAATAAAAAGACAGACTCCGGGCAGTACAGAAGCCAGGAGACAACACAATGACACAGAGCAGAGATGACAGGTATAGCAGTTAAACATAACATCTCTAAAACAATACTGCTGGAGTTCATTCAGTCATTAAAATAATATAGAAGCATTCATCCATTACAATCGACATTCATTCATCATCATGTCATTCCGACTGCGCGTCCAATTGGCCATGCATACTATATGAGCGGTCAAGACTGTGAACCTCGGGGAAGCAGTGCCATCAGTGTGCAGCCCCCAGGCTGATTGTATAGTGCTCCCTGACGGTGAGGCCGCAATAAAGGTCTCCATGCTTGAAACTTCAATGTATGATATTCCAAGCTATCAGCTGTCTGCAAACTGACTGTCAGGCGGCCAAAGATGTAATGGGCTTTGGATCTTTGTCAGTCTCAATGTTTGTCGCATGCCGGGTGTTATGACGTCGTGGAGTGGCATGAACTCCTGGAGCCATAGAAAGCCCAGCTACCTGATTATTCGGATTGAGTTATCATTTTAATAAATAAATATAGAACATTCATCCTTTCAATCATTCATTCATCCATTCATTCATCCATTCATTCCTTCATGGCAATGCATACTATAGGAGAGGTCAAGACATTGGTAGTGAGCATCAGGCAAAGCAGTGGCATGTGTGTACCAGGGTGTTTGTAATAGTGTCCCTGAAGGTGCGGGGGGAGATAAAGGTCTCCATCTTCAAGGTTTTTTGTATGATATTCCAGCTATCAGCTGCTGCAAACTGAAAGTCAGAGCGGCCAAAGGATGTATGGGCTTTGGAGATCTTTGGCAGGATGTTTATAGCTGACCGGGTGTTGTGCGTCGGGGGGAGTGGCATTTTCTCCTGGAGGCCAAGGGAAGCCAGGCTTCCCCTGATTTTTCGGATTGTAGTTATCATTTTAATAAATAAATAAAAACACTTCGTTTAGTTTCGGAAATTCTTCTTTGCTGTGTCTTGCTGCCGGCCCGTCTCTTCCCCATTCTCATTGAGTATTTTACAAAGAGTGAAACAGCGCCCCTCTAGATGTTATGGTGAAACAGTAGATTGTTACTCTCACTGTTGCGAGAGGAGGCTAGCCGAAATTGGCTTCCCTTGGTGAATTTTTTTTTAGGGATTGACCAATCAGACAAGGCTCACGTCATGCCCCTGCCAACCTGTGATTAGTCAGAGCCATGGCAAGGGAAACCAGAGGCGGCTGGCTTCCCTTGCCTCACAATCCAATCAAATCGCATCAACTTGGTGGTGCAGTGACACGTCACAGAGCAATTGCAATTATGGAGGGTGGATATTTGGAGTATTTAATCAAACATAATTGTACTAAACTTCCGCTACAGCAGCAACTAAAAATAAATCTGATGACA